GTGGGCTCCATATAATAATAATAAACCAACCAGTCCTCCTAAAATAACAGTACTTACTGCAGCAACATGTGGTACAACGTGCAAAAAATCGACTGTTGCAGGCAACAATGTTCAAGTTTTCTACAATTCATTTTGAAGACGGCCTGAACAAATAAAATACAGCCTAGCCTCCTAATGTGATAATACTTAAGCTACTAAGTGGTTAAATGCACCAATACTGTCGGACTCCTGAAAAGGTCAAAATCAAAACGTAAGTAAAAACCTAAACTAACCGGTCCAAGCAATCCTAGGCCTAATATACGCTATCTTTGCCATAATGTAGTACATAATATATATATATATATATATATATATATATATATATATATATATATATATATATATATATATATATATATATATATATATATATATATATATATATATATATATATATATATATATATATATATATATATATATATATATATATTATTCTTGGCCAAGAAATATTTAAGTTCGGCTTTTGTTGATATTTTTGTGTTCTCTACAAAATTAAAAGTACAATACGAGAATTAGCAAAATTAAAATCCTAGATGAAGAATGAGAGATAGATAGATAAATAGATGTTGCTACCATATAGGACTGAAAAAAAAATAATAAATGAGCAGCGTCACTCATCTTGCGAGTGATGGCAAAATAGCTGCTGAATCACCTCTGGCGTAAACCTCTGGGTGATGATGCTGTCTGCGGGGATGTTTTGCGTCACAGTTGATTCACGTGTAAATGCCAACACGTCGTTTGTGAAAGGAATGCAACCAGGGGGAATATATCGGTGCTCCCGCTGCCTATATCTTTCCCTGCTCTTACGGACTCCAATCTGGCCCCGTTTGTGTTCTGTTGCCTCTAGTTGGTGGTGCTGTACGTGTTCTATTGCCTGTCTTTAACGCTGTAATTCAAATTCGAATGTTTATTCAGGGAAAGTAAATACATACAAGGTGTGATACACGTTTTGCTGCCTCTTTTTGGCGCTGTATGTGTTCTGCTGCTTCTCTTTGGCGTTGTACGTGTTCCGATGTCTCTCTTTGGCGCTGTATGTGTTCTGCTGCCTCTCTTTGGCGCTGTATGTGTTCTGCTGCCTCTCTTTGGCGCTGTATGTGTTCTGCTGTCTGTCTTTGCTGTTGCCTGTCTTTGGCGCTGTACGTGTTCTGCTGCCTGTCTTTGGGGCTGTACGTGTTCTGTTGCCTGTCTTTGGCAATGTACGTGTTCTGCTGTCTCGTTTCCCGATCGTTACGGTCAACAGGCGCCGTACGTGTCCTATTGCCTGTTCCAGGACGTTACGTGCTGGTCCGTAATTATGTCCTCGACCACAGGGTGCTTACTTTTCTTATTTGCTAGTATTAAACTGTCGAATTATTTGTAGAGCATCTGTTATACTGAGTTTTGACTGGTTGGCTCTGACACTATTTACTAATAACATACATATATAGCTCTTCTGTTGACGTTTATAGTGCTATAATAATGTGTTCAGTTCAAGTATGTTTATTGAGATAAGAAAGAAATACATCTCAAAGGGATAGAGTAGCTTAGGCTATTTCTACCCCCCTCTCTACTTTAAGTCCCTCATGGGGCGCACAAATTAATAATGTGTTGGCGTAGGGTTATAATTTCAATACCAGAGAGAATCGTCGTTTATACTGGGGGGGTCTCTCTGTGCTCTCTTTGTCTTGATGAGCATACACAGTTGGATGATGAGTACATATATAGCCTCATTAATGTGCGCACACATAGCTTGTTGAGTACATGCACAGCTTGTTGAGTACATGCACAGCTTGTTGAGTACATGCACAGCTTGTTGAGTGATTACACAGCTTGATGAGTACACAGTACCGTGACCACCGCACCAATGATCGTCTATCGTCGTGATCGGTGGTCACGGTACTGTGCACGGTTGCCAGATCTAAATTGCTGAAAGTAGCAAGCTGACGGCCTAAAAGTAGCGAATTTGTAATAAGAGTAGCCCAATTTTTTTTAGTGAATGATATGGGTTTCAAAGTAATATATTTTGATATATAGAGTACACTACACGATGTTAATTGTTTTATTGATATTATTTCTGCACATACACACACACACACATACATTATATATATATATATATATATATATATATATATATATATATATATATATATATATATATATATATATATATATATATATATATATATATATATATATATATATATATATATATATATATATATATATATATATATATATATATATATATATACAATATATATATATATATATATATATATATATATATATATATATATATATATATACAATATATATATATATATATATATATATATATATATATATATATATATATATATATATATATATATATATATATATATATATATATATATATATATATATTTATATTGATTTTTTGCCGCCAGAGGTGGATAGTTCATTAAGCATCCCTATTCAACCAGTGAGTGGTGGTTTATTGTGCACCCCGAGCCCCGACCAGTTGTGTAAGCGGACCCCGACCAGTTGTGTAACTGCAAGCCTAGCATGAACGAACCGACAATAAACATACTTGAACGTGAAGTGGACTTCAATGTTTTTTTCGGCAGCTTTATTTCCTTAGTTTCCGAGCTGTTTTCTGTACCGTGTATGTTGTAATAAACTATTCCTATATTTACAGTTGTTTCTCCCTGTGAAGATTATTAAACAATGGTGATTATAAGGGCGCGGAAGTTCAGCCTGGCCAGGGCCGCCAGCAGCCCTTGGGCCCGCCCCGGCAGCACCCAGTCTTTAATTTGGCACCTTTGTGGCACCTTTGAGGAACCTTAGTGTAAGCCTAACATGTATATATACACTGGCTGCCTGTCCCTCTACACAATGATTTATTATTACCTATTATTTTATCATTTAATTTAAATATTAAATAAAATAATTTACGAGAGCAGTATTTACGCCCGTGTATTAATGCCCGTGCCACCTCTTGGGTGGCTTAATCTTCATCAATCGAGAGCAGTACGTCCTAACCAGACATAATATGATGATATCCTGAACAGTTGATAAATAAAAGTAATTGCGGAACTCCAGTTATCTAATACTTATCATAAATGGTATAAAACCTTATCATAAGCCAAGGGATTTGTAGATCAGTGTTTAAAGGGAATTCGGAAGTAATAATAACACAGCTGATGCCATCTGTCGGCAGAAGAGAACACTATCAACTGGCTGGTCAACAGTGGCCATAAGGTACAGCTTACGCCATCTGTTGACATCAAATTACACCTATAACAAATTACCCTACAAAATACAACTAGCGCCATCTCTTTTTTTTCCAACGCACTACAAATAGCCAAACAGCAACCCATAAGGCGGGTTGTTGTGCTCGGGTAGGAGGTTCCAAGCTCCGCGTATTCTTTGTTGACATTCACACAACAGCCAATCACAGGAAGGGATCAGCTAAAGGCTCCATCCATTTAATAAATCATCTTTATTTAGCACACCATCCTTGCTTATGACATCCTGCTTCAACTTTAGTCTACCTAAAAAGTGAAATGTTAAGTATTTAAAAGTATTAATATAGTGATAATTAAATACTGCAGGATGTAACGGGTGTTACAGAAACATGGGCTGGCTACCTAACTTGTGACGTCATCAGTGGGGGTTGCCTTAACACACATAATGATACGCTGCTCTGCCCTCTTATTCCAGTAAATTATTCAGTTAGATGGAGATTTCTGTCAGGTGCAAAACAGAAATTGTTGTTCTTTTTCACAACAACCTTGTTTTTGTGCACAAGGACCTATTTCCTAGTTAAAATTTTATTCATAAAAGAGTGTTGGTATTCCCCGCAACAGCCAATCACAGGAAGGTATTTCTGGAAGCTCGGCCTCCTTATGGACTCAGCACATTGCTCTAGCTCATGGCTCTCTGTTTCATCTCTTGTATATACAAACTATGACTTTTTTCGATTACTGTTATAATTAATAATATGAGATATAAAAGTTTTTACACAAAATGGCTAAATTCTGCCATTAAATAGACTTTGTCTGGTTTACTTACAAACATACACCAATTTATTACCATTTATCCATTATTAATTTCAAATGTAATGTATATACTGTCTAGTTTTTTCCTCTCGCCATTACTTGGTGCAATATTTGAAAGTTGTCTATTTATTTATCGATCTATCTATTATCTTGTTATTATATTTACAAGTTTCTGTGCTTGGAAGAAAACTCTACATTGAATTGGGGCTAATTTATTAAATAATATTATTTAGTATTAATTAATATTTACAATATTATATATTATATATATATTATACAGATTAATGAGCATATACACAGCTTAATGATTGCACTCGAAATCCTGTGGTTGCAGTTGAATCAGAGCTGAACGGTCCCGGGTTCGATTCCTAGCAGAACAGAAGCGTTTTGGCACCGTATCCTTTCACCTGGCGTGTGTCTTCACCTACGAGTAAATAGATACGCGTGAGATATGCAACTGTTGGTGGCCGCATCCGGTGATATACCTCGATAAACCGAACGTCGGTTTATCGAGGTATATCCTGTCCTATTCGTTATTTACAAAATGGCATACTGTATTATAATTTAGTTAAAATTAGTTTCAAGAGTTGTAAAAAAATTATATACCTGTCAAGCACTCTGTTGCTAGCAAATGCAAGTACATACAACAAATAATTTAGATTGTTGTGTTGATTTAGGGGCGACAAATAATTTAGATTTTGTTTATAAAGTATTTCCATGGTTGAGGGAAAACAAAGGCGAATTACAAAGTGTACAAAGCTATCTTTTTTTTGTTGAGTCTCAAGCCTCTAACACTGTAAAATATTTGAAAAGTATACAATATGGGTAAGATAGTATATTTTATAAGCTTTATAAATTCATAAAAAGACATAACAGGCCTTTATCTTTATAAATAATAAAAAAGTAGCCTTTCTTCGAAGATGACTTGACTGGGATTCGGATGACAGGTCGCCTTGCAGTGGCTTGAGGCTTGGTCGGTGTGGAGTTCTGCGCTGACAAGGATAACATAATAATTAATTAACATGAACTAACAAATAAAACCGCATTGCATGTGTATATACCTCTTATGGTGGAGGGAGGACCTGCTAATCTCAAGTAATGCAGGCTTGCTCTGGCGGCTTGTGAAATAAGTGAGTATTGAGTTCGTCCCCATGGAATAGTGGGCAGGATAAGGCTCCATATGGCGATAAGAGACTAAGAGTAGAAACTAAACGGTGATATAATAATAATTCACTGTGTCATGGGACAGGAAGCCAGAGTGTATTGATACATGTTTGACTTTTATCGAGGGCCCTCTCCTAGGGTTCAATTACTGACCCCGCCCAGGATGCAACCCCACAACAAAGTGACTTAACTCCTGAGTACCTACTTACTGCTAAGTGAACAGGCGCATTAGGGGAAAGGAAATGTGCCCAACCATTTCTGTCCCGCCCGGGATTCGAACCCAGAATTTTCAATTATGCGTCGAGAACGAACCCAACTGTACTACCGGGACCCTATAAACAGATATATACAGAATAGATCTTTCTTAATTATGTGTGATGCATAGTGTTTAGTTTGTGTACAGTGTGCTTACAAGATACAAACTGTATTTGTAAAGTTATTGAATGTGTAATATCACGTTTTGAATTTGAGTGTATTACTGATAATGTTTCTTCTGATAATTGTCATATTCTCAGTCATATTCCAGGTATTTTCAGGGTTAAGAGTTTTTTATAAAAAAAAAATTCACACTCTTTTCCACTCAATCTCTATCAGAACATTAAAAGTATAAAATTCATACAGTACAGGTACAGTACTTAAAATTCTGTATTTGGTTCTGAATGTTCAAAACTATGCTTAGAGATTATGTATTAAGTTTAAATGTTTTGGGGTGATTTTATGGCAAATACATGTTAAGTACAGTGTAATTAAATACATTTTATCTCCTTGGTGTACAAACGGTTTTGCTTGGTACAGTTAATATAACTTTACAATAAGTTTTAACTTTTACACTGATCTAATTGCAATTTGCAATTACTTCCGGTGTGTGTAAATTTACAAATGCTGCTTTTCCCCTGCTTGATCTGTCAGATACACTGTAGTGTAGTACAGTACTGTAGTGTTAAACAGTTAAGCAGTCCTAGGGTTGAGTAAACTTTATTAAATAATGAATACAGAGATGTTTTGAAAAGGTATAATAATTTGAGAAGGTATAATAATAATTTAATTTGATTAATTAACATATAATAATTTGAGAAGGTATAATAATAATTTAATTTGATTAATTAAGGTATAATAATTTGATAATAATTTGGTATAATAATTTGCAAGGTATCAATTAAATAATATTATTTATAATACAGTACATGTATAATTGTTATAATACTGTACAGTACCTGTATATTATTAAGCAATATTTGGCTAAGGTTTCATATATACTGTATTCAATCAATTAAGAAAATGTTCATATACAGTACTTACTAACAATGATCAGACTAAGTGTCTTTGCAGCTTTGATTTCTGTGCTTCTGTTTTTTTTTTAATGATCTAAAATCTGTCTCAGATTACTGGAAATTTTTATCTTGGAAACTGAGCTTATTTATATATTCCTACAAGGCCACTACTTTGACATGTGTGGCGTATAATGAGAGGTAATGGCAAGTCGGGTTTAGATAAGTTTCTCTCATTTAAACAAAATATAAGTTTAGCATGAAGATGGTTATTAATAGCTTTATATTTTCCTTGTAAGATGTACTAGTATACTGTATTGGTATACTTTATGATTGTTGAAGACAGGAAGCCTGTTAGACTAGTCAAAGTTTCCTCTAGCCAAGGAAGGCTGTCCACATGGTCTTCTCCACAGATGACCATGTGGACACTACTGAATGTGTTTATTCAGTACTACTTATTCAGTAGCGTTTAACTTGCTAAGTGGTTAAACCCAGTAGTGTTTAATTTAACTTGACACAAGTGGTGAACATGACAGCCGATACACCAGGAGCCGCAGTAGTCCAGGTGTGAGTGTGTCCTCTGCGGCCTCACAGTCCTCAGGTTCAACCCATTAGTGTGGATTGCTCCTTTTATTTCTTTTGTAAACAGAGTGGTAGATGGTTGGAACAAGTTAGGTGAGAAAGTGGAGGAGGCCAAAACCGTCAGTAATTTCAAAGCATTATGACTAAGAGTGCTGGGAAGACAGAACACCACGAGCATAGCTCTCATCCTGTAACTTCACTTAGGTAATTACCACACCACATGCAATACATAAATCATGCCAGGAGTATTGTGAGATAAAATCCAGACCTTACACTAGTGAGTATGTCCACTTAGTCAACTGAACCTAGAAAAAAAAAAAAAGAGTTGAAGCATTGGAGACCAACCTAGGAGCCAAGCTAAGGATGTGGAAAATCATAGAAGCCTTACTTCACATTGTATCAAACTTCCAAGAGCTCTTGTGGCATGAAACCAAGGTGGGTTTATGACCCTTTTACTCCACATCATCTAGTGAATTAACAGTGTAATGAAACCAAATTACTCAAGGAGTTCTGTGTGGCTGATCCTGGGCCCTCATGATCACATGTTAGTCGTTCTAACCTCTGAACCAATTGATCCCACATAAAGAGATGAAACTTGGGTTCTTGTCAACTTGTGAAGAACCATGACAGATTTACTCCAGATTTTACCCAACTGGTTTGTAGACTTGGTTGACTGAATGCACAGTGACTAAATTGTGGCCATTAGTCCTACAGTTGTGTTATGGGATATTTATGTTACTAATTAATACAGTAAAATTAATGATTTACAGGAAACACAGAATGGTCCGTGAGTCAGGGAGATGTAGAGTGGTGAAAAATTATGCCACCGGAGGGACCAAGGCAGCAGTAATACCAAAGTTAGGTTTGTAATATTGTGGTGGTTAATTTAGTCTGTTAATATTGTACATAGAACACACATGGTAATAGGCTCAGATATTTATAATTATCGGTCACGTTATTTTATAGCATACAGTATTTTGTATCTTCACAGGACCACGTAAGACTAGAAGCCAGTCCCTCAAAGAAAATCAAGAAATTGAGATACAACTTCAAGTCCCAGTAGATGAAGAGAAAACCTATTTTAGGTCTGATTTTGCAGATATTAAACGAAACAGTAGGTCACTATCAAGGGCAAGTTCTGAAGATTCTGCACTTTCATCTTGCAGCTCAAAGTGGTCATTGTCAAGTAATGTATCTATTGTTAGCAGAAAGTCTCAAGGTATTACAACAAGAAAATTAACACAAACCCTTGACCCTGTAGCTGAGGATAGAATTCCCAAATCAAAGGTTGATATAAACCCTGACACCATAAACTGGGTAAATGGTTTATCACCGACTAGAATTCAAGCTGCTGTTCCGCTACTGCGAACTCGTGCAGTTGCCAATGGTCATTTAACAAAACGAACACTGAGTTATGTTACAGAAAGCTCCAACTCGGACAGTGGATATAATTCAAAAGTGCTTGATGAAAATTACTCTGCAAATACCTTTCGATCTGAGGCTGTGATTCATTTTCATATTTGTGTGCTCTGGGCACTAATGCTGTCAGCTGAACACCATTTGAAAGTAAGTCTTAACAAATTTAATGAGTAATTTTGTTTAATACTGTACTATTGTTTCTTTTCATAAATATAGCTATGTGTAAAATAAAATCATAAAGGTGATCATAAGGGGTGAATGGAATAGTTATGTGTATCTAAGGTCTTGAAAATGGATGGCTTAATACTTTATTTAAAATTTAAACATATTATTAAAGAAATATATATTCCTTTCAGGAATGTATTTTCATCGACCTCAGGTTTTAGATTTGCTTTACTCATTACCATTACTGAATATCTTTCCAGTTATCCTCAAAGAATGTCGGCAAACAGTCCATGGGGGCACATCCAGTAGCCCTTCAAGTAGCAGCAGCATTCATACTTGGCACACTATGTGACTTGATCTCACCAAAGTTAGCTCTGCTAGTACCTCAGACCATCTGGGTACTAGTAGTTTTACTAGTCCACATTACCTCCAGCAATGTTGCTGTACAACTTGTTCCATATCTACCATGTATAAACTCAGGTTTATTAGGTAAGTTAGTGTGTGTGTTTTGTCATAGTATTAACTAAATAAACAACTTCAAGAAACATTTATACAAGTTCCTGCAGGAAGGGCTGGACCAGGTGGTTTGTAGCGTATGTGTGTGTTTGTGCATGTGTGGGCCTGTTTGCTGCCCCAAGCAACAGCATTTTAGATCAAGTTATCTCAGGAAAATCCTGGCCTCAGGTCAGGTCGTGTGTTGGGAGTTGAAGATCTCTCAGAGCCCACTCCAGTTAACAACCACAAGTTGTAAATAGTGATGTAGTATGCCTTATTGAAATTTATTGATGATTTCTTTTTAGTTACCACCTTGATAATTTGCTAGATTTGTCAGTTTTCATACCAATATGTGACTTAACATTTTAGGGTTACTTTTGTTCTCTCCATAAAGTTCATTTGTGTTTTAATCCAAGATGAAACATAGGTAATATTTACAAAAAAAAAACATTTTATTTATTGCTGGTCAAATAACTTATAATTATGATCTGCTCCCTGTTTTTATTTAATGGTATTGTAATGTTTTACATATTGTAAGTCAAGCTATTAATACAAATATTTGTATTTTACGGGTTCGTAAATTTATATATAAAATTTATTAGATGGAACGTTAGTGGAAAGATTGTCATATCATATCATGTCAGGCTGGCATTGTAATGACCCCTAGTTTGAATCCCCTTTGAGGAGTGTGCAGGTATTAGTTTCTTGTCTTTATTTTCTTCTTATTCTGCCTAGTAGAATTCTGCCTTGGACAGTAGAGCGACAGTCTTGCTGTCCAAGACTGGACAGCAAGACTTATTGCAGGCCGCCGTTCAATCCCCAACCGTTCAAGTGGTTGGTCACCATTTCTTTTCCCTGTCTCATCCTAAATCCTTATCTTGACCCCTTCCAAGTGCTATATACTGTAGTCATAATGGCTTGGCACTTTCCCCCGATAGTTCCCTTCCCTTGCCTAGTAGATGCTATGGTTGATCAATCTACTATTGAAATCTTGTGTTTTGGTGTGTGTGTTTTTTTTTTTTTTGGTCATACTCAGTACACCATAAGAACTGTTGGGTAAGGACTGTAAAGCACTTAAAAATATGGAAAATTGTTCAGTCATGGTGTTAACATTGTCGCGTCATGTGGTCTCACAGGTAAACATTGTCGTTAGAACATTGTGTGGGAATTTATATCATTTGAGAAATACTGTATTTATTTATTAATTTAAAGAATGTACAATTCAGTATAAGCAATTTTTGTCTAAAGAAATAATAATAGTATAATAAATGATATTACAGTACAGTACAGTATACAAAATTGTAATTGTAAATAAATGTAAAGGTGAAACATTGCAAATAAAATAATTGTAAATTAGGGAATACCATTTGGGTTATAATGGATATGTGGGCCTGAGGGCCACTTCAAGCAACAACCCTGTAGATCATATTATTACAGGATAAACATGACCCAAGGCTCGGCTTGCGGAAGGGAAGGGAAGGGAATTATCAGGGGAAAGCACCAATCCATTATGACTAAATATATAGCACCTGGAAGGGGTCAGGATAAGGATTTGGGATGGGATGGGTTGGGGGGATGGCGCCCAACCACCTGGACGATTGGGGATTGAACGCCGACCTGCATGAAGCGAGACCGTCGCTCCACCATCTAGTTCGAATTGGGAAGTAGAAGAACTGTTGGAACTGACTGCAGATTTCCAGATTTACCTTTAGCCTACTGTCTGATGTAAGCAAAAAATTTGAATAGCTGGACATGTGAATCAAATGATATACCTAAATTATAATATCCTGTGTATAGATGTTATGCAAAGTTTTTATACCACAAGTCAGTACAGTACTGTATTAGTAAACTATCTTATAGTACAGTATACGTCGAATTTGAATATTTTGTGCTAAACAGTTCAGCATATTAATGTTTGCATTGATGCAATAGAGTTGTGAAGCAAATACTTCTAAAAAATCAGTTTTGCTCTCAGTTAATAATACTATATAAGTTTGGTATATCCTAAGATATAGATAAAATAAGCCATTTGTTTCAATACATTACAGTGCTTTGTATTTTTAGTGAACTGCATGATAATCCCAATAATCATAATTCTTAGTTCACTTTCTTGATTTTTAGATTCAATCAAAATACAGATACTTTGTAGTCAAAGGGTGTCTATTAGTTTTATAGGCTATAAGGTTTTTACTAGTAAAGCTGACACATGACACACTCTTGCGTGACAAGAACCTTCTGGTCTGTTTTGTGGAATCCAATCAGAATCTTCCTACAACATTTAAGTTAGAAATATAGAATTTGATCCAAGCTATGGTTTTTATAAATGCTAAACAAATGGTGTACCGTTGCAGGATGTCAGTTTCTCGCGATACATCTGGGCTTCCGAGGCAGTCACGCTGGAGTTTTGTCAAGAGTTAATCTTAGTTATTGTTTAGCATCCATTGTGGTCCCTTTCATCATTACTATGATGAGCAGTGTCTTGGGGTACGTATTACAAATTATTCTATGTTAAACCATGTTAATTTTTAGGATAATGTGACAGTTGTATCAAATTGCACTAACACAATGTCTGGAGACTGCTTGCCATCATAGGATCACATAATGTTTACAAATATTAATGTGTAATTATTTAACTTTTCATACTTGTATTGTAAATGTAAAACAATGCAAAACAGTAAAAAAAATATATAATTATATTTGCTGATATTTTAATTTCTTTGTGATGCAAGCAACTGTATTTTCTGATTTAGAAAATATTCTTTCAATTACTCTTCATTTATTACTCAAGAGCAGTCAGCTTTATCTTAGCTGATACATGGGTCAAGTTGACTGGAGGGAAATGTAGCCCAAATAATCCTGGTGATATAGACACCTCTAACTCTTTCTTCTAACAAAACAGAACAGGCATAACAAAAATTGATAAAACATTGCAATAAAGCAAAACTTTTAAATATTTTTTTTCACTAGACCACTGCTACCAATTATAAAACAAGCAGGTTTAATATTGATCACATATTTTTATACACGGGGCTGTGCAAATTCACTCGTCTACTTGTCTTTTGATGAGTTAAAGTAAAGGCAGATGACTATTATTTCCAACTCTACTTGATGTAGTACAGTAACTCATAACAGCACTTGATAGGTGACTTTTTTTTCTGACTTGTGGCCCGAGTCAATATTTGTTCAGCCCTGTTTGTATAGCAAAGGTGAAGCTAATGCATAAATAACCCATTGGTCCTCTTTACCAGGAGTTCCATTAACTCTCAGCTAGTTACGCTAGTGAGCCTCCTGAGTATGATGGCTGTCCTTAGGCTCTTAGGCAGTAACTTGAAAGGGTTTACCAGTAAGTACCTTCCCTTTATGCAACCGTGGCTTGAGGTAGCTTACTACTTGCGCTACATTCATTCTTTGCATGCTGGTAGACATGCTCTTAGCTTGCAGAATGAAATCACGAAAACGTAATATATCTATGAGATGATATTGAAGCTGTAAGATGGTATTGAACCTACATCCCTGAACTTGGGAAGCTCCTCAGTGAGTATGTCTGAGAAGTTTAGGGGTGTGGGTTTGACCCCATTGTATGGCTTCATTATGTTCTCACATTCGTAGCTTATTTGCATGAGAATAAAATCAGTCTGGTTATTTGCATGGTAAGGTAAATAGTTACTTGTTCTTGATACATATAATTAAGAAATATTATACTCTTCTTTTGAATGCATTTTTTAAGCATAGAATTTTATACAAGTGCTGTATGCTGTAGTATATTTATATTAACATAATAGTCATTCTTCGATCTGCATGAGAATGATGCTCATCTGAAACCTTGTACAGATTCAGTTTGTATAAGTCAAAGTTGGGGTTATGTGGAGAATATTGGGATGTATTCCTGAAACTTCCAAAAGTTAACTTTATCTGATTCCTATTTCAACAAAATATATTAATTATATAATATAATACTCTACAAGAGTACATGTATTGTGTAAATGCTAACCACTGGCTGAGTTCATCAGCATATGTAGAGCAAGTGGGTATATTATGACAGTCTCACCCAAACCATCCAAGCAGTTGTGCACCATTCCTTTTCTCTTACTACTCAAAATTCTTGTTTTCGTATCCCTTCTAAGTGCTACATGGTCATAATAGCTTAGTGCTTTCTCCTGTTAGATACCTTACCTTATTCCCTCCTGGGAGATTCCCATCAGGTATTGGCCACATTAGAAATTTTTTGACGAGTGTATATGACCACACAAACCTTTCACTGTTTCAAGTTTACTGGACCCTCTCCCTCACCCATTCGTTCATATACTGTACTACTGTATATTGTTTTAATTTTCTCTCCCATGATGTCTGTCTCTATCAGATGATCCCATTATTTCACTCCTTGTACACCCATCTTATTAAATGATTCTCAAGTATCCTATTACAGTAATATGTTCTTTCCATCTAAGTGTAAACAGTGTACCCAAATGTTATCGTGAAATCTTTGCGATAAGCTTAAAACAGTTTAACATTCCCTTTTCTTTACATGTAGAGCTCACGATAGCCTTAATCCAGTCATCTGCCATTTTACCCACTTGCTATGCCATCTTTCCCTTATGGTTGCTCATAAACAGGGACAAGATTGATTAATGATTGATGAAGATTAAGCCACTCAAGAGGTGGCACGGGCATGAGTAGCCCGTAAGCAAAAACAGAAGCAGAAAGCACTTTAAGCTTCTTTGGGTACCCCTACTTGGCCAACTACTTACCTTTCACAGGTCAACCCACAACAGTTGCCCAACTCATAGGTGCCTATTTACACCCAGAAGTTGGGTAGCCTAGGCATTAGGTGCCCAAATGTCTCCTCTTTCCCCCTCCTCCTATGCACATAACCTTTTCACATAAGGCTATGCCAAATGTCTCTATTCCCCCCCCCCCCCCACCCACCTCCCTCTTTTACATAACATAACCTTTTCACATAAGGTTATGTCTTATGTGAAAAAATCTGGATGTCATGATTTTAAGCAAAAAATATCAATGTACAATTTTTTAAAATAAGACAAATACAATACTGGGATTCATATCTAGAAGCATTAGTAATAAGACATCATACGTTAATCATCAGCTTTAGCTAGCCCTTGTTAGGCCCCATTTACATTATGTAGTTAAGTTTTCTCACCATACAGTACTATAGAATGGATATAAAAATCGCTCAAGTGTGTACACAGAAGGATGGCATAGTTGACTAGGAACTAGAAACCTTTCTTATGAAGAGAAGATTAAAATGCTCAGTTTACATTGTTTATAAAGGCTAAGAGTAAAGGATATCATGATTGATGTTTACAAGTGGATGAATGGTTATAACAAGGGAAATATAAATAAAGTTGTTAAATACGTCAACACAAAATACAGTAGAACACTAACCCCAGTTGCCTTTACCGAGAATGAGACTGGTGCCTTCCAGTAGGTTCCATGGTGGTTGAGGGATGGTTCATGCATCCTAGGGTGCATCACTCCCTCTTCCTTGTGGCTTCTCTTTATCAGTTTGTTGGCTAATTGTCATGTGGTTGCCAATGGCCTCTTACTGAACTCTAGATCTGTGCTTTCATAGTTGAACGATAGCATTTTGCAGCATATCTTCTCTGCTTGTAGCTTGTACAATTTTACAACTGGTGGTTCAGTTGAGTCTTCAGCAAGTAATACCTCGTAAAGATTCCCTGACTGTTTTGCCATTGTGTGGTGTTGGGTATGCCATTACATAGTGCCCCAGGAAGGTGGCGGTGGTTCAAGTGCTTTTACCTCGGGGTCTCTTCCAGAGACCTGAGATCCTTTTTTTTTTTTTTCTGGAGGCTCTATCCCCAGAATCCTTAACCATTCTTCTGCTTTGGCAGTGATATGTATCACAGGTGAGTCTTTATCTTTATTGTTTTCATATTTTCTGATTCTCTTGTTTGCCATTTTAAATTTTTAAAGAAAGATCGTGTTGGTTTTACACCTGATGTTACCACCTGGAAGTGGATGGGAAAGGCTGCAAGGCTAGCAAATAAGTAGAGGGGGTCCCAATGTTTATTAATGCATCTTCTGTCAGACATTTGGCTGGAATAAGTAATCTCCAGTGACCTCCCTCCCTCCCCCATCCCTAGCACTTTATATACACTTACAGGGGTTTTTTAAAATTCAGTCGAGCCACATAGCCTTCCCGGCTTGGTGCCTTCTTTTGATAATTACTTACTTGAAAATTCAGTGGTGATTGTACAAGAATGTCATCCTGCCTGACTGTTCATACTCCTGTCTGTAGACACAATGGAACTTACCTTAGGGGAAGTACTGTACATAGTAATTCTTCTGAAATACTGTATTCACTTAGGGACTGATTTTGTATTTTTTTTCGTTTTATATTTGCAGGATTACCTCTTCTAGTCCCAGATAATTGCTCACCAGCCAGATTCCTCAGTTGTATAGTTATGAAGGTTGCTTTAACTGTCCCAGCGTCACTTCTCCTTCCGTGGCTCCAGAGTAAGTCGAACTGATTACTGTATTTAGGATTCATAATTTTAACCCTTAAAGTTCGATTATCTTAAAAATTTACATATTGCCTGCAAGCAAGAAAAAAAAAGACATGTACTATTTTACTTGTTTTTACTTATAAAATGGAAGATCTTTATTTAAAAGCATGGAAATTACAAAAAAATCATTTACATACCCTGATTTTGGCCTGAGTAATAGTTGACATTTTTTTTGGCAGTTGACATCATTACGTTGATGATGTATGAGTCCATGGGTCATGGGAGTCATGACCAAACAAACAATTTATTTTTTTTCATATGAAATATATGTAAAAGTAATAAGGACTACCAAAATAAATATTTTCAGTGAGCATATTTATTTTTGGTCAAAGTGCTATGATCATCATATGATAATGGGAGACCAGGAGTAGGAATTCGTTTGACTCTAATGCATTTTGTGGCCTTCCATGACTGCTGGAAGACTCCAATGAACTATTGGAACCATGCCTGTCATATACGTGTCGATAATTCAAAAGATAAATGTCCCCACGGTCCGTTTTCTGACCAGGCCTTCTGGTCAGTGGTCATGTCAACCAGGCTGTTTGATCCAGTTGCTTGCAGCCTAATGTACTGTATAAACCACAGCCTGGGTGATCAAGTATCCTTCGAAGATGTTTATAGTACGTCTGAAGTTATCTTTTGAACACTGCAAAAGGTCAACAAGTTATGCCTCGAATGAATAGAGTGTGCTGAAGAGTCTTGGGCTTTTGATGTTGATTGAGTTCTCACTAAGTGTGCCCACTGCACCTTTACTTTTCAATAGGGCTATTTTATATATATACTGTATATGTTACTGTATATGTTATTCTTATATCGAGGTCCCTCCCAAGGTCGAACTACTGACCCTCCCCAGGATGCCACCCCACAACAGCTGCCTGACTCTTGGGTACCTGTTTATTGCTAGGTGAATAAGGGCCATTAGGTGATGGGAAACACACCCAACCATTTCTGTCTTGCCCGGGATTCGAACCCAGATTTCCTGAGTGTGAGTCGAGAATGAACCTGACAGTGCAGTATTGCCTTGTGGTCCATGTGGGCAACATTGATATTTAAACATGATGTAAATCGTGTAAAATTTAAACAAAATATAAATGATGATGATAACGGTATTACACTGATGATCAACATAGGATGATTTCAGCTCTTTAAGTTAGGGTTAACACTTTTGGTTAGGGTTGTGCACATTTATAGCAAAATTACATATTTCATAATACATTGTTGTTTACAACATGCACTGAATGACCAAGCAAATTCATTAGGCTTGATATTTATTCATTCATTCATTATTACCCATTACCCACTTTTATTTAATAGATGCATCAGCCCAAAGAAAAAATGGAAAAATATTAAATTAAATCAATCATTATAACAATGTTGTGGTTGTATTCTCATTATAGTTGACATTACCGCTCAAAGAATAATACTGCTTTCCGCATAAAAAAATTATTTATACGTACAAGTTTTCCAGGTTTACTGAATGACGGTGGCAGCATCAATGGCATTGGTCTGCCAATATTGGTGACAGTTGGGTTACTGTTGGCTCAAGCCGCCCTGGTGCCCTTACTCTTGGTGTGTACAAAGTCTTCCACAGCTACTGGGGCTATGGCTGCTCTGCTCATGCTTCTGTATCCTGTGATGGTAAATATATTTCTTTCGTGTAAGCAGTTTTGAGTAGCATTGGCTTTCTTTGCCAGTCTTGTACATTTTATAGTTACATCTTAAAATCTTCAACAGGTATTATCAGATGAGTCAAGCTCGATTCTGCTAGTGTTGCTGATTCCTGTATGTGGCCTGGTGGCTGTGGCACAGAACTTGGTGGTTGCCGATCTCGTCTCCACGTTTCCCCAATTTCCAGGTGTCATTTTGGCTCTCAATCTCTCCCTTCATATTCTCATACGATATTTTACCCCACGTTTTTCTACCAGTATGATTGAGCTGTGTGCCGATAAAGGCAGGACACATTTGATTTCTTTAAGTTTTCCTCAATGGCTCAGGTATTTGTTGGCAAATAATTTCATATCTGATATATCCCCATTACTGCCAACTTCTTTAGACTTTTTGTCATGCCATAAAGTGCATATTAATGTCATAACTGTGATGGGTTGTGCATGTTCTTTTGTACTATTAATTTTGGCAAGAAGTACATAGGTTAACTATATACAGCACTGTATACTAGCCTTTAAATGGGAAATACGTAATGGTAACCACATACAGTACTGTATACTCGGTTATAAATTGGAAAATTGGAAATCAGTTTATTTCACAAAGGAAATAATAGTAAATTCTTGAAAACACATTAATGAAACTTATATTTTCTCATTAGCTTTCATTAGGTTCTGAAAATGAGAAAACAAAGACTATTCATTATAAATACATACAGTACTGTACATATAATATATATATACACCTGTACAGTACTTTATATGCATCATATATGTCCTGTACTTAAGCATTACATGTAATTTAATTACCATTTTCCATGGGGATAATTATCCAGTATCCACTAAAACATTTTTGACCAAAGAATAATTGTTAACATGTTCAAATAAAGAATGTTGCTGTTGTGAAAGCTGCATGGTAACCAGTCATAATAAAATTCTACACAGAAAGCAATGGCTTCTGAACAACCATGATCCAAATTTGCAAGATACTGTATCAAAATTGTTGCCGCCCATCTCCCCATTCAGATAAATTATATTCTGTATTATCCATCGTGGAAGCTCCATTATTTTCACGTGCCTCAATTGTGTTGTCGGCCGCCAGATGACATCCTAGTCTGTTTTGGAGTGCCTCGCGCATGTGGGTGTTGAATCCAGAGCTGCATTTGCATTTTATAACTTGAGATTGAGTCAATCCCTTCGCAAGGGTGAACTGAAACTCGAGCATTCCTTTTACAAGTTCCTTACAGGTGCCTCAAAGAATCTTTAGGTATGTCGGGTCTACTGGAGGAGGAGGAAATTCTCTTGAGCAAATAATGATAAACTGTTCTCATACTCAGTAGCTGTGTTGCCTCATTTTCTTCACTGACAGCTCTCCTAATAAGAGGTCACCCTGTAGGTATGCTGGTTAAATCTGCCAGTTGCGACTCTTGTGCATCTTGTAAAGGCTCTAATTTTCATGATAATTAGATATTTTTGCTTTTTGTTTCTTTTGAGTCATATGTTCCGTGATAAAATCCTTTGTGAATCTGATTCCTTTGACATTACTAGTCTTAATGTCATATTGTTCTCATTTTGGCATCCTAAATGATATCCAGGAATTTTCTTTTGATAATTACTTACCTGCTTTATTATAGATTAATCCCATTCTAAAACCATAAGATACACAACCAGTGTACAGTATAAACTGGTCATTGAGGAATTTGTGAACTACATTGTCAGAGTTGGCCTCTAATTTATTCACAAGTATACAGTATATGGATGTGCATATGATATTTTTGTTGAAGATGGTAATACAGTATTTAGTAGATGGTAATGGAGAAATTTGTAGTCACAAAATGATATAAAATAACCTACTTATGAAGACAGTTTCTTTTGGTAGAAACTGTCTTAAATTGATATGGTTTATCTGTGATAATTCATAATTATTAGATTATCAAGTGGATTATCATCAGGCTGCTGTACTGTGCAGTATTGTCTTTCTAATATGCATGTCTGTCTATGATGGTATTCAGCATCCTTCGATTTTATTACAGAAATGCAATTGGATTATGAAATATGATATGAATGTACCTTGGGGTGTACTTGATGAATACACTGAGTAATACTTGGAGTGTGTTATAGATATGCATGATGTACTTTGGTATACTTTAGGTTGTACTTTGGGGCATATATACACCCTTTGGGTACACAAAGGATCATGTGTGCTTTTATGCATATGGTGGGGTATATTTATCAGTGCACTGTGTGGTAGGGTTTGACTATCGAGTGCACCTTGGGGTACTGACGTGCTGGTGTCTTTTTGCTAGGAACCTCTTATATTAATTTATTTATTATGTAGTAATTCAACAGAGGTGTTACTTCTCATCAATTGTCAGGTGAAGTTGCTGCACACTTGAGTGTGAGTGGATGTTGGGACAAGCTGTATAAAGTAAGATTAACTCGGTCTCGTGGTTTACTTTTTCATTTTCTCTCTATTCACCTCATGCAGGTCGGTGTTCAATCCCCGACCGCCCAAGTGGTTGGGCACCATTCCTTTACCCCTGTCCCATCCCAAATCCTTATCCTGACTCCTCCTAAGTGCTATATAGTCATCATAACTTGGCACTTTCCCCTTGATAATTTCCTCCCTTCCCTCTCTATTCCCCTTACCTTCTTTGCTTGTAGTGACCCTATCTTCCACTCTATGGTTACATGATTTGATAACGGTCCAGGACGAACCGAAACATCATGATGTCCTTTCTTTTCATGTACGTGGGTTAGGTGTCACATTTTCAGCCACGTATTTGTAACTGAAAATTAGCAGGCAAAAACTAGCTGAATGTTTGTTAGTGAAAAAATGCAAATTTTCAAGGTACAAACTTTTGTATTGTGGTTTTGCTGGTTTAATTCCATGAAATCCATGGAAGATAATTACATTTTATATAGAATATTTGTTAATATAAAACAAGTGTAAAGAGAATGGACTAGTCAGGAGTCTAAAGGTGGCAAGAAATTATTAACTAACTCTGGTAATGATATGATGTGGACTGATCTCATACAAGCATAAATTTTCATGGATCTTATTTTGTTAATAGAAAGATCTTTGATAGTCACAAAGTGTGTCCAAATTTTTAAATGAAAACTTTATGAAACTTTGATACAAATGCATATGAGCGACGCTGGTTCAGAAGATGCACATACAGCAATTGCATGTTAATGCAAGTACAGTATTGTGTAGTAGTAGTAGTAGTTTCTGCAGTTATATGGTTTTCATATATTTTTATAAATGCAAAAACACTATTCCATCCATTTTCAGGAGAATCTCATTTCTGAATTTTGGTGCATGTATTGTATAGCAGGATGACATTTTCCAGGTTTTCCTAAGTGTGAAAGAACGAGAAGGAACACTTTTAAATGTCTGTGAATGAATTTTGCAGTTATAATATATTATCTGTATCCCATTAAGACGTGAACTTGTAAAATACTGCACTCTCAAAAGCAGAAATTTAAATAAGGAAATAGAAATTAAATAAAAGTAGAAATAATTTCAAACACAAGCTCTATTCAGTCAGAGTAGCCCCATACGTACTCTGCTCTTTCCTTGTTCCTAAGTATGGTATTTGCCGACAGATAGGACATACATTTTGTCCACCGCCAACAGATTATATATATGGCATTTACATTCACAAAATTATAATGGTTTTCCCCTATAAAACCACTTGAAAATCACTTTCAATCAGTGTATGATGAAGTATACTAAAATACAAATTCCACAAAAATCAATATAAAATATGTCTTGTATGCTGGCAAATACAGTAACTGTTTAATAAAACATATATTGTTGGTCTTATATAATAGCAAACATATATTCTATGTACATCATTTTGTTATTTGTATTACCTATTATGGCTGTGTTTGACAGCCAAGTGTAATTTAGATTGATAAAATATTGGGCATTGTGATTGTTTGGTAGTAATATAATCAGAGAGGATGACATTGCACAGGGTGGTTCAAAAAAGGAAATGTTTAGCATTTCTTTGTAACACCACCCTTCAGAGAAGGCTAGCCTTCCTTTGTAACACCATGCTTCAGAGAAGGCTAGCCTTCCTTTTGTAACACCATGCTTCACAGAAGGCTAGCCTGCCTTTGTAACACCACCCTTCAGAGAAGGCTAGCCTGCCTTTGTAACACCACCCTTCAGAGAAGGCTAGCCTGCCTTTGTAACACCACCCTTCAGAGAAGGCTAGCCTGCCTTTGTAACACCATGCTTCACAGAAGGCTAGCCTTCCTTTGTAACACCACCCTTCAGGGAAGGCTAGCCTGCCTTTGTAACACCATGCTTCACAGAAGGCTAGCCTTCCTATGTAACACCATGCTTCACAGGCTAGCCTGCCTTTGTAACACCATGCTTCACAGAAGGCTAGCCTTCCTTTGTAGCTCCACTCTCTAGAAAGGACTAACCAAAATTCTTAACACCACACTCCAGACAGGACTAGCCTACCTGTGTAACACTGCAAGAGCTACCCTACCCCTAGTGGAACATTTTTAGGCTCTAACCTGTCTTAGGCAGCATTATTAGCATACCCCTGAGGGTGTAACCATTGAGTAAACTCTAGCTAGAACAAATCCACAAGGGCCATGACGAGGATACGAAGCTGCGTCCGGGAGCATCCCAGACACTGCCTTAATTTGTGGATTTGTTCATTTGATGCATCACGTTAGTGTGATCTCTGTGTGTAAACTCTAGCTAGGTTGTGTTCATTTATTTGCTTTGAAATCTTCAGTTAAGGTAGATTGACATGTTATTTTCACCAGTAGTTTTTCTCAAATATGTGTTCTGTTTGGTCATAGCATGTCAACCAGAAGGACCAACATTAGGGTCCTCTGGGATACATTGGTGAGCTATGCCCCTCAAGTAGTGGCCTCTTACAGGGTGGTAACAAAGTATTAAGCGATATGATAATCTAGTTTTGAGGGTAGAACTATTGAAAATAGGTTCTTTTAATTCATATGGAATAAAAGAGGAGTGAAAGGCACTCAGGGTTTTGGAATATGAGGAATATACATATGATAATTATCAAGGAAAAAATTTCTTAAAAGGGGAAGCATGCAGCCGACTTAAAGGTAAATGCTGGCAAAAGCGAGGTGGTGGTTTTGGAAGGCAAGAATAACCTGTTGGTTTTTACTCTGTGCTGGTCTATAGAATAAGTGAACAAAATGTGATATTGCTAAGATAGAAGTGGGTTATGATGTATTAGGGAGTTGAAGTCTTTAAGAGCAGGAATATGTAAATAGAATGGTGAAGAGAGAAGAATGGGAGATAGTAATGCAAGGGAGAAAATGACTAGATATTTATAGAATCGGTTATGGAGGATAGAAATGTTGTTACGGCTGTGAAACAAAGGTGTGTGCTTACTCCTTCCAAGCTCGAGGATTTGGAATGAGCTATGGATATAAATTGACACACCTACATAAATTTTAAATTCCACTTTAACTAAGCCCTAAAGCATATTCCAGTCTAATCTAAAATTCAAGCTGTTGAATTTATGTCTTGGAAATGCATGTTGCATAAATAGGCAGAGAAGGTTAATTAAGAATTTTTTGTATGCAGGACAAGAAATTTCATAAGACCTAGGATTATTTCCAACACCCCCATATACTAAGAAACCTCTTAATTAGTTTGTACTAAATTAAACTAACAGTATTGGGAGTAAATGCAATTATATATATATACATAGACAATTCCATTAAATATTTTGTCTGGTGTTGCTACTGGGTAATGGGTAATAAGAATGGTTCGAGAAGAGTAGTGCACAAAGGTCGAGAGATAAGAACGGAGAAGGAAAGATTGGCTTTCGTCTAATACAGTAAGTATATAAAAGTGAAGGAAAAGTGATTGGTAGACACTGAGCATTATAGAAAGGTAAAGAGGAAGACTACTTACAGGACTGGCCTCTATGCACAGGTCTGGCCTCAGGGGATATATGACAGTCTAGAAGTCTATGCTTATCACTGCCTGGTGATAAGCTCACAGAGTGACAGTATGTCATATACTGAACTATATAAATAAATAAATAAGCTAACTGCTTTCACTTGCAAAATAATTTATTTATGTTAATTTCCTCTTTAAGAAACATCTTGCACATTGTTAACTGCAAATTGTTAACTTGTATGTTTTCAAATTGATTTCAAAAGTTTTTTTTACTAAAGTATTGTTTTAAAATAATATTTATGGACTCTAACAGCATTAGTTTGGCAGTGTCTTTTCAGTATTCTCAATTCATTAATCATTTTAGGTAGTGTGTGTGTGTGTGTGTGGCGTTGTGTAGCGATTTACTGTACTTAGTAATAAAGTCTTCTGTTTTATATTTTGCAGCTATAGTATACACATTCAGTCAAGATGATTACAGCAAATAATTTTGTGATTTTTCTATGGATCTTCGGTAAATGTATCATTACCTTGGAAATCATGGAAGCTATTTATGAATATTTGCTTTTGTTATTGTATTCTGTAGTGCATGAGGAGGCTGTTCATCAATATTTCTTTGTATTGTATTCAGTAATATATCAGCATCATTATTTTATGTTGGTAGAAATTTATTATTGGTCCTGTATTGCAACCCAGCCTGAGTTTAAAGTGGCTCATTATACATTCTTATGTTCACCGGTGTCCCTCAGTAACTGTTAAGTGCCGTTTTCTTCTTTATCTGGGTATAGTATTTACTGGCTTTACTCCTTTATCATGGAGTTTTCCAGTTTTGTTTCTTTATTTGGGCACATGCCATTTCCAGGCAGTAGTGGATAACTTCTGCTCCCTCTCTTGCATGCTATAAAGCAAAGTGCCCACTGTAATAAGCTTCCTGTTTGGGTTATTAGATCCACCCATTGACTGAGTTGCCCTGTTCGGATGGCTGGGTGTTGAGGCCGGGTTGCAAAGGGCCTGGACACCCATCTTCCCTCTTAGGCTCATGCAGTATGCAATAAAGGCCATGAATTGTGCTCCCTGTCTCTCCTGTCACCAGGAGCAGCTAACTGGTGGTCCTGCAGCTACTGCTGTGCTGGACAGTGAGCCTTGCTCCCATTTTTGGCCCACTCATTGGGACACTTCTTAAGAAGTCATCTGCCCCATGACTGTCAATGATTCAGCCGACACAGCTAGAGATAATTCCATGACACTGTTGAATTTCAAACCACAAGGAAAATGATGAAAATTGTAATTTAAATGACATTTAAGTTTGTTGATAACCAAGTTAATGGACATATGTATACTACATTAAACCCTACATTATACAGGGATTGATATGGATTAAGTTATTGAGCTACATGTATTATAGACACAGAAAGATTACAACATTGGATACACTGAGAATTTGGCAAAAGTAAGATCAGCAGAGGACTGGGTAATACTGATGCTTTTAAGTGGTCATGCTTCACACAGTCAGTGAATCTACTGCATATAATAAATAAATATTAGCTATTTCTAGCAAGTGCAATGGGTTATTACACATGTAATTAACTGCAATAGTAATACTGTCTTCTAAAATGTTTGATTTCTTTATTTCCATGTATGCAATACTTTTTTCAAGATTCCTTACTTTTTCTAGTCGTTCGTGATATTTTAAAGACTTGAGCTTAAGTGTATATTTATTAATCTATACAGCAAATCAAATTAAATATTTAAACAAACATTGTTTGAAATGTGTAATTTGGTGCTGTATATAGATTTGTGTGATTTTTATTCTGTTTGTAATACCTTTAAAGCAAATGTTATTTTGTAAAGTTTTGAAGGTCTGGTTAATCCTAGTGTGCAATTAAATACGTTTGAGACGTTGAAGATTACCTTACTGTATTATTTTTTAGTTCTGGTCATATGTGATTGAGATATTTGAAGCCAAATAAACAGTCACATGAATAAGGTGTTTTATTATTCTTGTCATGATGATACATTATATTGCATTTGTTACTTCCCATATAATTCCTGTTGTCAGGAACAGGAAGCCTGTCCCTTGTCAGTCTTGGCAAGTGTACCACACCAGAGGAGACAATCAGGCTCCAGGGAAGTTAAACCTCGGCATTATACGTTAGGTAGCTTCAACCCTAGTTTGGGTCATGAGTGGCCATCTGCTTGCCCTCACAACAACTCCATTTGCTCTCACATCCCCTCCCTCCACCCCTCCTGCTCTTACATCTCTACCTGCCTCACAACACCCCCTTCCCCTTACAACATTCCAACCTGCCCACACCAGACTAGTACCCGAGCTGAGAGGTATGAGCTACGAGGAGAGACTACGGGAATTAAACCTCACTTCGCTGGACGACAGAAGAGTTAGGGGGGACATGATCACCACATTCAAAATTCTGAAGGGAATTGATAGGGTAGATAAAGACAGTCTATTTAACACAAGGGGACACAGGTGGAAACTGAGTGCCCAAATAAGCCACAGAGATATTAGAAAGAACTTTTTTAGTGTCAGAGTGGTTGACAAATGGAATGCATTAGGGGGTGATGTGGTGGAGGCTGACTCCATACACAGTTTCAAGTGTAGATATGACAGCCCGATAAGCTCAGGAATCTGTACACCTGTTGATTGACGGTTGAGAGGCGGGACCAAAGAGCCAGAGCTCAACCCCCGCAAACACAACTAGGTGAGTACACGATGGGAGACATCTCCCGTCACGCACGGTGCAGTCGCACCTCCACAGATAAAAAAATAAATATATGTTTATTTAGGTAAGGTACATACAAGAGATTTTAGAAAGATTGATGGAATTATAGATAGAGCTAGTACATACAATGCCTTAAGCCACTATTATGCAAAGCGTTTCGGGCATGAAAAACATTAATGACTAAATCTTAATACTAATTGAGTATAAAGAATAAAATGTGTTGAGAACAAATAAAAATAGAGATAAAAAAGGGGGGAACATGGCTGAAAAAGCAGCACAAATACAATTAGGTCGACAAACAGCGTTGTTTAAAAGAAACAGACATGGGTTGACAATAGAGGGGGTAAGGTAGGTTACAGGGAATTTATTAGGTAGTGCTTCGTTTTTATCTTAAACTGGTTGAGAGAGGTACAGTCTTTAACATGGTTGGGAAGGTCATTCCACATTCTGGGTCCCTTGATTTGTAGAGCATTTCTAGTTTGATTAAGTCGTACTCTTGGAATATCAAAACTGTATTTATTTCTGGTGTGGTGCTCATTGGTTCTGTTCTGTTACATGGGATCTCCAGTATCAGCTCTTGATACTGGTAATGGCTCAAAGGGGCCACCACTTACGGGCTATTCATGCCCGTGCCACCTTTTGGGTGGCTTAATCTTCATCAATCAATCAATCCCAACCTGCTCATACTACATCCCCACCTGCCCTAATTGAATGCCCCAGCTGCCCACACAACACCCCCAGCTTCTATTTCAAGTAATCAAGTGGGCACCTTGGCAGCTCGCACTTTTTTTTTTAAACTACCTTAAGAAACTGTACATATTAAAAACTGCATCACAGGAAAAACACTTCTCACTAAGGAACAAGTCAGAGAGCGCTCCCTTTCCCAGATTATTTACACTGATGGATCCTTGCATCAGTCTTATGGTGCAGCTGGAAGTGCAGTTGTTGTGACAGGGAGAGATGGTTCCTTCTCCCATGAGTGTGGAGCGCGTCTAAGTAACTGGGCCTCTACTCTTCAAACAGAATTGGTTGCCATAATCCTTGCACTAGAGCGCGTATATGAATCCAAAGTTGACACACTAATTGTAAGTGACTCCTTGTCATCCTTGACTGCCCTCAGCTCCCCAAGGCATAACTGTGACGTGCTTATCTCTGAAGCTAGACACAGATATAGTGAAATAATCAATGATGGAGTCAGGGTTTGTCTCCTGTGGATTCCTTCCCATATTGGTCTCCGAATGCATGATAGAACTGATGAGCTAGCCAAGACTTTTGCTCGTAAAGAAGGAATTGATTACCAACTTGGACTGCAGGCGATGAGTCACAATAACGTGGCTGAAGTATGTTGACCAGACCACACACTAGAAATTGAAGGGACGACGACGTTTCGGTCCGTCCTGGACCATTCTCAAGTCGATTGTGATGAGGACAGGTAGGGACAGGCATTAAATAGGCAAGAGAGAGCTGAGGAGGAAAGTCAGGTGTAGGGGATAGTAGTAATGAGAACTGCAGCAGGCCTATTGGCCCATACGAGGCAGCTCCTATTATAACCACCGAAGGAGATAGTAATAGGAATAAGAAGAGGATAGCAAGGGAGCGTAGAAGACAATGAACAGAAAAAGGGAGAAGAGAGAAAAAAAGGGAAAGAGAAAGAAAGAAATGGAAGGGGGAAAGCTTATGTTAAGTCACGTTTGTTAGAAAGATTAGACTTGGACTGCCTTTGAGCAGCCTGAGGGCAGCAATATCCCAGGAACATCAACTAAATTTCGGAGACTTGAGGCAAAGTGAAATTCACACCAGTTACTCCATCTATCATCATTCTATTATGCATGAAGAACCGCACGTCTATGGGTCATCCAATAATGTTAGCAGACTTCTAGATGTTACCACTGCTAGGCTTAGGCTCGGCTACAAGTACCTCTGGGAGTTTGTAACATCTGCTGATGTAGATTTGACTAAATGTAAACTCTGTCAGCAGAACTATTCGCATACTTTGCGTCATTATATAATGGAATGTGAAAAAATTGCGGAATTTAGAGATAACACCATCAATAGTGTCCAAGAAATGTGTAAGTACTTCATTTATAATGATGTGCTGCCCGAAATTTTAGCGAAGTATCCAAAATTTGCTTACTGTAGGTAATGCATGCACATGACTGTAAAGCTGCCGCCCAGTTGGGTGGGTGTGCAGCAAGACTAGTAACTGTGTGACTCACTATAGATGTAAAGTGCCTCGTATAGTGACTGTTGTGAGCCTCTTGTAATGTCACTTGTGACACCTCTTTGTGTCACTTGTGACACAAAGATTATTGATGTGTGTATTTGTGTGGGTGATTAGATATGTATGTGTATGTATATGTGTATACGTATATTTATATATATATATATGTACATGTATGTATGAGGGTGTGTACATGTGTATAAAACATTGATAATTTTGTAACTAGCGTCAAACATTGTTATTTGCTTAGCTAAACGAACTAGAGGGTTCAGTTCCTGAACCGATTATGTGCCTCTGTAATCCTTTACACCACCGCCCACGGGATGGGTATGGGTTGCATAATAAAGAAAGAAATTGAATTGAATTGAATGAACAACATGTTAAAATTTATGAATGCGTCTGTGGAGTTGACCGCTGGATGTAATGAACTGGAGTCGAGGACGGGTTACGCTTAGAACATAGGAAGTGAATGAAGCAGTTTTCGAGAAAAGTTGAAACAATCGGTTGTGATGTGTTTTCATTTTTAAACAGATGGAATAAACGACTGCTGGATAAACAAGCATTGAGCCAATGTTTATAAGGATGGTACTTAGTTGGCCAGCCATAGGCTTAGGGCCCGCGCAAGAAAAAAAGAAACAAAATTGCTTTGCTCGCTTTCTGTGTTCGAAACGTGTCTATAAAGGCTTCATCTAATTATTGTAACTTCCAGAAAATACATATATATTTGCCATAAGAACGAAATCACCTTACCTAATTTATTATTTATCTAATTGTACACAAATTGTAGTATTAATTATTTTATATTTGAGAATTTTTTGTATTATGCTTTATGCACGTACTCAAATGTAAATAATTATTAAACCCAAAACACATAATATAACCTATCCTAAGCCTAATAAACAAAATTATCATACAAATTTATTATAGATTTTGTCTGAAACGCTATGCAAGTAAATTGCGGCTTTGGAGGAATGTACCATTTAATCACCAAAATCTGTCAGTAGACCAGCAGGGACAAGAAACCGGAGCTGCAGTTAAAGCAGGAAACTCTGTATATAGTTGGAGGCTCTCAAATGGGTGTTCGACTTTACAAACAGAGTTGCTAGCCATTCAAAAAGCTTTGGAACATGCTCTTGCTGAACACCGACAACATGTTATCATCCATACAGATTCGAGAACCGCCATTGAAACCTTGCAACAAGAACACATATGTGATAACATCCATCTGATCACAAATGTCTTATCATTCATGCACACACTCAAACGACAAGGCCGACGGGTACTTATCAACTGGGTGCCAAGTCATGTGGGACTAATAGGAAATGACATTGCAGACGAAGCTGCAAAACTTGCTACTATGAGGAGAAATGTAGACATTTACATACCACAGAGTCTATCCCAGATGAAGAAAGTAATTCGAAACAGAGCAATGCGAAAGATGTACAGTGACCACACCACAGCAGTTGCAACATCAGGATCTGCGGGTTGGTACAAGAATTCAACCAACTACGAACCACTTAGTTTGATGAAAGGGGGCAGTAGAACAACAGAAGTGCACTTACATCGCATCAGGCTTGGATACCCTTGTGCATGGGAAATAGGCTTACAGGTTCCGGAAGATGAGAGGAAATGTCACTGCTGTGGAGAAATGCCCGACAAGCACCACTGGAACATTATCTATCACAGTGCACAGTTACAAACCCGATAAGATTTCAACTTAGATTCAACAGAGCAGAGGAAGTTGTTAAACACATATGGCAACATCTTACTGAAGCGACCATACGAGTCATGAATACTCATCCTCCGCCCAAGTAAACCAGAAACAAGCATCACTTAGTGGGCCAGCCAGAGGCTTAGGGCCCGCGCAGGATTATCCCTGCTAAAAAAAAAAAAAAAAGCTGCTCAGTGTTGCCAGATTGGGCTACAAATAGCGAATTGGGCTACTTTTGAGAGCCCCGCGCTCCCAAATTTTTAATTTCGCTACTTGCTACTGTTTGGGCTAATTTAAAAGCAAGATGTGCTAATTTGGGCTATTAATGTTAAGAATGTACAATTGCGAGTTACATGAAAGTAACTAAGCTATAAATAATTGTAATTAATAATAATTGTAAATATTACTAAATAATATTATTTAATAAATTAGTCCCAATTCAATGCAGAGTTTTCTTCCAAGCACAGAAACTTGTAAATATAAATACATGATAATAGATAGATTGATAAATAAATAGACAACTTTCAAAAATTGCACCAAGTAATGGCGAGAGGAAAAAAATTAGACAGTATACATTACAGTTGAAATTAATTAATGGATGAATGGTAATAAATTGGTGTATGTTTGTATGTATACCAGACAAAGTTCATTTAATGGCAGAATTTAGCCATTTTGTGTAAAAACTTTTATATCTCATATTATTAATTATAACAGTAATCGAAAAAAGTTATAGTTTGTATATACAAGAGATGAAACAGAGAATCATGAGCTAGAGCGATGTGTTGAGTCCATAAGGAGGCCGAGCTTCCAGAAATACCTTCCTGTGATTGGCTGTTGCGGGGAATACCAACACTCTTTTATGAATAAAATTTTAACTAAGAAATAGGTCCTTGTGCACAACAACAAGGTTGTTGTGAAAAAGAACAGCAATTTCTGGTTTGCACCTGACAGAAATCTCCATCTAACTGAATAATTTACTCGAATAAGAGGGCAGAGCAGCGTATCATTATTTGTGTTAAGGCAACCCCCAATAATAACGTCACAAGTTAGGTAGCCATGCAACCCATTTTTATATAACATCTGTTATATCCTGCAATATTTAATTATCACTTTAAATAATTAACACTTCACTTTTTGGGTTTTGGGTAAATTAAAGTTAAAGTAGAATTCCATAAGCAGGACTGGTGGGCTGAACTAAGATGATTTACCAAGTGGATGGCACCTATGGCTGATCCCTTCCTGTGATTGGCTGTTGTGTGAATGTCAACAAAGAGTTTCTAGGCTGGGATTTATTTCTTATTTATTTATATACAAAAAGGTACATTGGGTTTGTGAGAATACATAGCATAGTATTTACAATCTTGTAAAGCCACTAGTACGCGCAGCGTTTCGGACAGAAACGGAAAATTTCTCGAAAAGTTAGCAATAAAATACGCTTTCTGGTTCTTTATTTTTAAAATTAAGACCAGGGATTCTGTCTAACGAAGCTGCAAGCTAAAACACCGTTATCCTATAATGTTCATCTGTAGCTTGACCCTAAATACTCATTTATTACACGAATTTATTGTTAGAGTTCATTAGGAATCAACCTTCTTCTTAAATTACATCATTATGGTGTCAGAGGACACTCCCTACAATACCTCAAATCCTACCTTACTGACAGGCTCCAATGTGTTTCTGTGAATAATACAATTTCTCCCACCCTACCCATCAACATTGGTGTTCCCCAGGGCAGCATACTTGGCCCTCTCCTCTTTCTGATCTACATTAATGACCTTCCAAATGCCTCCCAACACCTCAAACCAATTCTATTTGCTGACGACACAACCTTCATTTACTCCAGTCCTGATCCCCTTGCTCTAAATGCCACAGTAAATACTGAGCTAAATAAAGTCCATCTGTAGCTAACTGCCAACAAACTCACCCTTAACATTGACAAAACTTTCTATATTCTGTTTGGCAATAAATCCTCTAATCAAATAAATCTCAAAATAAACAATACCCAAATTTGTAACAAATTAGATGGCAAATTCCTTGGCATTCTCATTGACCACAAGCTGAATTTCCAGGGACACATTCTAAACATATCAAAAAAAGTTTCAAAAACTGTGGGCATTCTTTCTAAGATCAGATATTATGTACCACGCCCTGCCCTGGTGACTCTCTATTACTCCCTTATCTATCCATATCTCAACTATGGTATTTGTGCTTGGGGCTCTACTACCCAAAATCACTCAACACAAAGCTGCTATAAGGACAATATCCAATTCTGGCCCCAGACATCACTCGGTACCCCTACTCAAATCTCTGAATATGTTAGACATTAAGTCACTGCACATTCTCTCATGTGTATTATACATATATAAAACGCTAAACTATAATGCCAATCCTGATCTCAAAAGCTTCATAGAAGGTTGTAACAGAACCCATGAGCACCACACCAGAAATAAATACAGTTTTGATATTCCTGGAGTACGACTTAATCAAACCAGAAATGCTCTACAAATCAAGGGGCCCAGAATGTGGAATGACCTTCCCAACCATGTTAAAGACTGTACCTCTCTCAACCAGTTTAAGTTAAAAACGAAGCTATACCTAATAAATTCCCTGTAACCTACCTTACCCCTCTGTTGTCAACCCATGTATGTTTTTTTTTTTTTTTTTTTCAATTCAACGCTGTTTGAATGTAATTTTCTGTAATAATTTGTAATTGTATTTGTGCTGCTTTTTCAACAATGTTTCCCCCTCTTTTACCTCTATTTTTATTTGTACTCAACACATTTTATTCTTTTTACCCATTAGTTTTAAGCTTTAGTCATTAGTGTTTTTTCCTGCCCGAAACGCTTTGCGTAATAGTGGCTTTAGGCATTGTATGTACTAGCTCTATCTATAAAGCCAACAAACTTTGTAAAATCTCTTTATGTATGTACCTTTACCTAAATAAAAATTATTATTATTATAACTTTGTTGAAGGCAGAGCTTCCAGCAAATACCTTCCTGTGATTGGCTGTTGCGAGGAATGCCAACGCTTATATGAATAAAATGCAAAATAAGAAATACGTCCTTTTGCTCAACAACCTTGGTGTTGTTGTACAAAAGAATAACAAATTCTGTTTTATACAAGACAGAAATTTCCATCTAACTGAGTAATGTAGACCAATAAGAGGGCGGAGGCATTGTATCGCCGATATTATTTGTGTGAGGCAACACCCCACTGATGACGTCACAAGTTAGGTAGCCAGCAAAGTGTTTCTGTAACACTCGTAACATCCTGCAGTATTTAATTATCACTATAATAATACTTTTAAATACTTAACATTTCACTTTTTAGGTAGATTAAAGTTGAAGCAGAATGTCATAAGCAAGGATGGTGTGCTGAATAAATATGATTTATTAAGTGGATGGAGCCTTTAGCTGATCCCTTCCTGTGATTGGCTGTTGTGTGAATGTCAACAAAGAATCCCATACCTCTTGTGGGCGGAGCTTGGAACCTCCTACCCGAGCACAACAACCCGCCTTATGGGTTGCTGTTTGGCTATTTGTAGTGCGTTGGAAAAAAAAGAGATGGCGCTAGTTGTATTTTGTGGGGTAATTTGTTATAGGTGTAATTTGATGTCAACAGATGGCGTAAGCTGTACCTTATGGCCACTGTTGACCAGCCAGTTGATAGTGTTCTCTTCTGCCGACAGATGGCATCAGCTGTGTTATTATTACTTCCGAATTCCCTTTAAACACTGATCTACAAATCCCTTGGCTTATGATAAGGTTTTATACCATTTATGATAAGTATTAGATAACTGGAGTTCCGCAATTACTTTTATTTATCAACTGTTCAGGATATCATCATATTATGTCTAGTTAGGACGTACTGCTCTCGATTGATGAAGATTAAGCCACCCAAGAGGTGGCACGGGCATGAATAGCCTGTAAATACTGCTCTCGTAATATTAATCAGGGGGGTGGGGGAACTATCAAGTGAAAGCGCCAAGCCATTACGACTATATAGCACTCGGAAGGGATCAGAATACGGATTTGGGATGGAACGGGGGAAAGGAATGGTGCCCAACCTCTTGGGCGGTCGGGGATTGAACGCGGACCTGTAGGAAACGAGACCATCACTCTACCGTCCAGCCCAAGTAGTTAAGCGTAATATTATTGAAAAAACAATTTATGCATATAATAACGGCATTTCACACTAAAAATACTTGGATATATTGAAATTTGGTAGTGAATTCCAATCTAGGAATCTCCTGTGACTAAACTGTACTTTTTAATCATTTTTATGTACTTACTACTTATTATTAAATTATTAGGTACTTACTATAATAATTAAATAAATTATTTTATTTAATATTTAAATTAAATGATAAAATATTAGGTAATAATAAATCATTGTGTAGGGGGACAGGCCGCCAGTGTATATATACATATTAGGCTGATACCAAGGTCCTACAAAGGTGCCAAATTAAAGACTGGGTGCTGCCAAGTTCAAGTTCAAGAACTTGAACTGAACTTGAACCAGCAGCGAACACGAGCCAGCGCATATGTATATACGAAAGGGTTCGTATATATATATATATATATATATATATATATATATATATATATATATATATATATATATATATATATATATATATTCTTTTAAATTTTATATAGATTTATATTCTTTTAAACTAAAGAAATTTACATTTAATTTGGAAATATATATGTGTCTTGATCTCAGTTAAATGCATTAATTAAAAAATGACAACAGTTGCCAAAATCACATAATACGAAATATAAACCCAGGTAAGGGGGGATGGGGGAGGTTGCTAGGTTCGTTCATGCTAGGCTTGCAGTTACACAACTGGTCGGGGTCCGCTTACACAACTTATAAACCACCACTCACTGGTTGAATAGGGGATGCTTAATGAACTATCCACCTCTGGCGGCAAAAAATCAATATATGTATGTATGTATGTATGTATGTATGTATGTATGTATGTATGTATGTATGTATGTATGTATGTATGTATGTATGTATGTGTGTGTGTGTGTGTGTGCAGAAATAATATTAATAAAGCAATTAACATCGTGTAGTGTACTCTATATATCAAAATATATTACTTTGAAACCCATATCATTCACTAAAAAAAAATTGGGCTACTCTTATTACAAATTCGCTACTTTTAGGCCGTCAGCTCGCTACTTTCAGCCATTAAGATCTGGCAACCCTGCGACCTGCTAGCAGCTGACTGTTGACAATTGTTGACTGAACCGTCGTCAGTGTTATCCGTATTCGTACGTTATAATCTTTTTATTCTAGTGCGCGATGTGTATGTCCCGTACCGTTTGTGAAGCGCTGAATCGACATACGTTATCTGCGTCTCCGAGGGATGGCATGGTAAGTGTTAATAGTGTTGTTATGGGGGCGAATGGCCCCCCTAGATGTGACCAACCTACACCATTGGTGTGGGTTATTTTATTTATTTATTTTATTTTTATTTTATTTATATATATACAAGAAGGTACATTGGGTTTGTGAGAATACATTGGATAGTACAGTATATACATTCTTGTAAAGCCACTAGTACGCGCAGCGTTTCGGGCAGGTCCTTAATCTAGCAGATAATTTTAAGTAGGTAATTTCAATCAGAATTGATAAATGATAAAGATGCATTACAAGAGAAAAATGAGATGAGAGAGATAAGTAGGTATATTAAAGCATATTGTTATATTAAAGCTCTGATTGATTACATTGACAGCTTGATTAGTAATTTAAACAAGGTTAATAGACACCATACAGCAGATTGACAGCACATATAAGACAGCAATGATCACAATGGTAAAGATGTTCAGATTGGGTACATAAAGATTGGGAGACTGGGTAGCAAAAGATACAGATAAACAAGATTTATAAACACCATACAACAGATTGGCAGCACATATAAGAAAACAGAATGATCACAATGGTAAAGATGTACAAATTGGGAACATAAAGGTTGGGAGATTGGGTAGCAATTGATACAGTGCAATTTTAAGGCAAAAAGTGAAAAACTATGAAGATGAAATTAGGTACTTTTTAGTATTGATTTTGAATGATGTGAAAGTTGGACAGCTTTTCAATTCAGTAGGGAGTGAGTTCCATAAACTGGGTCCCTCTATTTGCATAGAGTGTTTACACAGATTAAGTTTAACTCTGGGGATATCAAAGAGATATTTATTTCTGGTGTGGTGATAATGGGTCCTATTACATCTGTCCAAGAAGAGTTTCAGACAAGGATTTGCATTTAAGAACAGGGTTTTGTAAATGTAGTTGACACAAGAGAATTTGTGGAGTGAGATTATGTTCAGCATGTTTAGGGAGTTAAACAAGGGGGCTGTGTGTTGTCTGAAAGCAGAATTTGATATTATTCTGATAGCAGATTTTTGCTGGGTGATGATGGACTTGAGGTGGTTTGCAGTGGTTGAACCCCATGCACAGATACCATAGTTGAGAAAGGGATAGATTAGTGCATAATATAGAGAGATGAGAGCAGAGTTAGGAACATAATATCTGATTTTGGAGAGTATACCAACTCTCAGGAAGGAACTATGGCAGTTCCTATGGCAGAACTACGGTTGGCAGGAACTATGGCAGCGTATCACCGTCGTCCGCATTATTTTGATACTACTCGAGTAAATTCACTGCACAGTGTAGCTTTAAGACATATATGGCTGTGTGTGTGTGATAGTTAGTTAGTTTAGTTCATTTATTATGCACCCCATACCCATCTTGTGGGCGGTAGTGGAAAGGGTTACAGAGGTATATAATGGGCTCAGGGACTGAACCCCACAATTCATTTAGCTAAGCAAGTTACAATCTTGATGAGCTAGTTACAAAATTCAATATAAGTCGTCACATCAACAATGGGTTCGAGATCGACCTCAAGTACAGGTTCTAAATTAAGCAACTGACATATGTGGAGAGCTAGTGTCAAAATTTATATGTTTGTCCTGCACACCGCCCCCCATCCAGTGGGCAGCGGTGGATAGGTTACAATCACTCAGATACTACCTACAGTTAGCAAACTGGGGATATTTGGCTAAAATTTCTAGTAGTGTGTGTGATAAAGGAGGCTGGATATAATAATTTTGGCAGAGGTCTCAAGAGGGGAGTCGGTTCTTCCTGTGTCTGAGAAAGACAATCTATTATAGAGTTTAGACAGCCGGGGAGAGAGACAGAAGGCGGATAAGAACTAGCTGGAGAGAACAGGAAATAGATATTCAAAATGGGAACCTTAATCACACAAGGGTCATACAGAGTAAGAATCTCCCTCGGCCGGTGAAATTAATTCGTAGGCAGCGAGGCTATTTATTATCCTCGAGAAAAGGCAATTTCTCGTAACTCAGGCTTTCGGGCTTCAATTAGGAAGTTTGTGGCTGCACTGACAACTTGAGGATATTGTCTTCATTAAAGGTTCAGTGTAGGATTTTCTGGTCAAGAGTTTACAGGCAGGCTAACAGCATACACATTATTCGCAAGTAAAGGGAAAATCCACGGTCACACTACAAATTATATATAATTATAGACAGAGGTGAATTTCGGTAAAATTTATGGACATTTTGTTTTTGCACTAGGCTGGTAATTCATAGTCTAGCCTTAAATTTGTCTATTAAATAATTAACAAATTGAGAGGAAGTACCTAATTCCACAAATTGTTTAACTCGGGTTTGTGCGCGCACAAGAAAATATAATTATTCCTATTAGGAAAGCTGAAAAAGGTTCCTTAAGTTCAAGGTGGTCGTTATTTTTTTTTTTATAGGTGGGAGGGAAGGAGGCGACAGGAAGGCTAAGATTTTCTTTCTCTTATGTTAGGAAGTCGACTGTTGAAGCATTGACGTCACGGCACTTAATCCTGTGTTCATTCTGACTTCGTCCCTGAAATGAAGTCCTGGCGGCCTCGTTAAAAAAAAAAGAATAGCATCTACACTTTGATCTAGTTATGACCTCATATGGCGCCAAAAATTAAGGGCATTGCAACCGGTCTCCGTTATTTTCTTCGTGCAATGTCATAGTATTCTGAACTGTTTAGGTTTCGTTCTTGCGATGTTATAGAAACCTGACCCATTTTGGTTTCTATCAAGTTTTTGCTTTGTTTTATGTAACAAAAAGTAACTAGACATTCCTTGTGTAAATCGACTCTGCGTATAGAAACACCGAGATGGAAGTAGGCTTTATTGAAAGTTCTGTATCAATTGTAAGGACTTGATCTAGTGAACTGTCTTCGTGAATAAAGTCTACAGCAGTCAGGCTTTTGTTCACACACACACAGTGATGTGGTGGAGGCTGACTCCATGCACAGTTTCAAGTGTAGATATGATAGAGCCCAGTAGGCTCAGGAATCTGTACACCTGTTGATTGACGGTTGAGAGCCGGGACCAAAGAGCCAGAGCTCAACCCCCGCATGCACAACTAGGTGAGTACAGACACACACACTCTACCTTCAACATGATTGCCTATAAACTTTACTCAGGTGACTGCAGCAATATGCTAATGTGGCTGTGACGTGTATGTACTCGCATTGAAGTATTGACCATACTTGTATTTTGTTCTTATTCTCCTCATAACTTCCGTGTAATCTTTAACCACTTACATGTGAGTATATATGTCTCTAGGTAGGTTGTTTATATATAACAGGAACAGTACGTGTCCGGGTGCCGATTACCGAGGGACTTTAATATTTCTCTTTCGTCTCGACACCTTCCTGGGTGTGACTGCTTGCTTTTTTTTTGTCTTTGCTTAGGTATTGTCTTTCTCAGTTGACTCGGTCACTCCAACCCTTGTTTTTCTTCTTCAAAATTGTGCGTCCTTGCCTCGATGTGTGACCACAGATGTACCAACATGTACTTTCAATCATCATTTGTTAAGTGTTGTAGTGCTTGATTCACTAATATTCCCGCCTAACTTGCGGATTACAACATATGTATTCACCTAATGGCCTTGCAGGAGTCAAACGTCGGCTCTTTGGTCTCGCCTCTCAACTTTTAATGAACTCGGGATTCATCAGGCATTTATAAGCTTTCTCCTACGAACCTGTACATCTTTTCTCAATCTTTGGCGGCTTTGTTTATATTTATTAAACAGTTTACGAGCGCCGAAACAGCCCCAACAAATGTTATTGTTGTTATAAACAGCCTCCTGGTGCTCCGGAGCTCATAAACTGTTTTAATAATTGTAAACAAAGCCGCCAAAGATTGAGAAAAGATGTATAGGTTCGTAAGTAGATGCGATGTTCAACAACTTGATGAATCCTGACCCAGGTGCAGATGTTGATCAAACCACACACTAGAAATTGAAGAGATGACGATGTTTCGGTCCGTCTTGGACCATTATCAAGTCGATTGCGATGAGACAAAGGAGGCAAGGGCAATGCCATTACATCTAAAAAAAAAATTACTAACAAGACATTAATATAATGGTTGAGAGAGTGTCCTATAATTGGAGAGCTCGATGATGGAATATTCATTACCTGCCGTAAAGAGCGATATCCTAGCCTAGTTAGATAGCCTAGTTAGATTAAGGACTTTCCGGAAACTCTATGCATTTTAGTGGCTTTGCAAGAATGTAAAAATATCACTAATGTAAGCTCACCAACCCATTGTACCTTCATGTAAATTAAATATTATTATATTATTATTATTGTCTGATACTGTCTACATAAAGTTCTCAGTTCCAAGCAGATAATACTGCAGTGCTTTGTGCCCTCTGATTGTCAGTAAGTTCTCCTATGTCAGATCAAACGTCTTGGGTGCTTGCTTGGGCTTTAGGTGCCGTGTCTGTGTCCTTATGATGGGCAACAGGGACTTCAACCTACAGTCAAATCCTTTGTTATGTTGACAGGTTCCTATAGCACTTGACCCCATAGAACCCACCCTACAAGACCCCCCCCCCCACCTAAGTTAGTTTAGTTAATTTATTATGCACTCCATACCTATCCTGTGGGCGGTAGTAGCAAGGGTTACAGAAGCACATAATGGGCTCAGGGACAGAACCCCACAATTCATTTAGCTAAAAAAAAAGTACTAACCCATTCCACCTGACTCTACCCACCGGAGCCCCCTACCCACCCCGCCTGGCCTCTCCTCAGGTACCCAATACCTAGCATACCTATATACAAGCCAGAGTGAACTAGTACATTCACCTTACAACGTCACTAAACCCGATTGTTCCAAAAACTTGTCGTCGGGTCGGTGAAGGCGGTGGAGGATAGACATGCGAGGTCTCACTTTACATGTCGAGGTTACTTCCTTTCCTTCCTTCCTTCCTCTTGTCGGGCCTGATCTCTCTCTGGCTTCCTGGAGCTGCTACGGCCTGGCCCCTGCTTGACCAGTGGCTGCTGTGACCCTTTGACCTGCTGGTCA